TCAATATGACATGTTGGATATCGGTTCCGGTTTTCTTTCACTTAGCCCAAAAATGACGACTCCGCTCACGTATTCGGTTCGGGTTCGGTTCGACACCTTTGTTTTAGGATAGGTGGAGGAATATGTATGGGGGGGGGGGGGGGGGGGGGGAGGTGTAGCAAAGAAATAACATGAATAGGCTTATACATAATTAGACCGCATATTTTCCGGTGTTTTTTATAAGAAATTTTTGAGGATGTTGTGCGGTGTTTATTTATTTATTAAAAACCGGCGCATTTTGGTCATGTTTGTACGAACGGTAAAAATGATGCTTAGTGGTGAACATTTTCACAAACTAAGCGTTCACATAGAGTTTACAATTTATGTGCACCCTTGCAACTCTTTGTACTTATCATAATGCAGCAGTGCTTGCAAACCACGGACCAGGCCGAATTTGAGTCAAAGTTCGCATATGCACTCTTTGAAGAATCATCCAGAGGTTTCCATTTTCGTTGTATACTGCACTTCATGTGCTGCTTCTTATGTCAACAATTATATTGTTCTAGGCAAGGTGTTTCTGAGATAAGAAAGGCAAGTTGCTCTTTCCTTTTTTTTAAGATTTAATCGATAACGACCACCCGGGTAGTTTTGCACGCTCTCGTCAAACTCCAAGCAAAGTAAAAAAACAACAAAAAAAAAAAACGAACGGTAATAAGCAGTGGTGAGCGAATAACTTACCTAACTCTTGTTATGACTCACGAATGCAATTGGCTCACCTTGATTTTATTTTAAATAACTTTTGTTTGCCATACTAAGGTGTTGGTTGCTCATGTGCCCATACTTAGAATCACCTAACCCTCATATCACCGTCCTCCGAGGTTCGTGATTCCGCTGACTTGGAACTGCCAGAGTGCTTGATGTTTGGTGAGACTACGCGCCCGAATAAAAATTTATAAAGGAAAGAATTTGGCAAAAACAATCCTCGTTTCGTGCAAATTTTTCAGAAATTGATATAGTTCGGTTGTAACAAGATTGGTACTTTTTACACCGATGGATGTCTATCAGTGTCTCTCAATTAAAACTGCAACGTATACGACCTAATTATTACTTGACAGAAGTGCCTTGAGGCTTTTAATAGTTTTTCCTCTTGGCAGCCGCGTTCGTCGAACGATTTCTAATGCCGAACTTTCATATCTTACTTCGTCTGCACAAATATTTTGGGTGACCCAATAATTGTCAAATCAACAAGAAAAAAAAACATTTATTAAAAAAAATGAAAACTGGTGAAAGTATTTTTTTTTTATAAGAACAGGACTACGCCATTCCAGGGTCTAGAAAAGTCCCCCACCCCCCTCCCCCCGTCTAACATCGTCCCTTGATCAAAAGTGCAGCGCGCACCTCGTGTGTTTCTTTACATCCCAAATGTGGTCACATATGCCTTCGAAAAGGAAGAACAAATGTTACATATTGTACATGTTACGCGGAATAATGATACACTAACAAGTCAACAAATGGGCTCCAAAAAGAAGCAAAATGGTATCAGGTTTAAACAAAATATGCAGGAAGATATGTTTTAAAAAGTATAAAAAAATTGTTATTTTGCAAGTGCCATTTATTTAAAAGGGAAGGAATGTTATAATAAACAGATTAAAGATTATAATTTGAACTATTACGAGTGACCAGCTATTTCTCCGGACAACGTTATTAATGGTGCTCTTATGTTCAGTGAGTTCGGAAATGCTGTACACAACTTCCACCAATGCAAGGGATGAAAGTCGAATTGAATAAGGCAAGCGATACTATAAAACCGTTCTACATGGATTACTTGGTATTTATTAAATAAACATTTCGTGTAATAATCATAAGAAGCATCCACTATATTACGTGAACCTTATTTTTCACTAGTGACATGTTAGTTAGGTTTGTTTTGGTAGTTGTACCCCAAACCAGGTGACAATTATTCAAATGAGAATTAAAAAGGCATAATAAACGTTTAATTTAATATTGACCAGTAGGAAGCTACGGCATCCAGCGACAGGCCCAACTTCACGAGAAAGCTTTTTTGTTAGGTATTTAATGTGGTAGTTCCCTTTCATGTATTCAAAAAAGTATACACTTAGAGTTTTATGTTGGCTCACAAATTCAACAGACGCGTTTCGGAGTTTTAGAGGATTTGTTATACCTACTAATTTATTGACAGGTATAAATAAAACTGCTTCGGTTTTTAATGTGTTAAATTTTAAGTCATTGACTTCCGACCGACCATAAGAAAACTTTGTTTAAAACTAAGTTTGCCAGTCCGATAAGTTTGTGAGCATCATTTCCGGAAAAAAAGATAAGTGGTATTGTCTGCATAAATTATACATTGAGTTTGATTGGTTATAGTTACTACCTTATTTATGTAATCATTAGGTAATTAAGGTCCTAGAATGCTGCCTTTTGGGACACCGCCAACAATGTTCGAGAACGGTGAATGTTGACCATCGATCATTACCCTTTGCTGGCAGTTCCCTAGATATGATTTAAACAGTGGAAATTTAATTCGGGAAACACTCTATTTATATAACTTTGTGTGATTAAGGCAATCAAAGGCTTTACTGAAGTCAATATAAATAACAAATGTTAATAGTCGCTTTCCAATCTTTTCTAGTGTAATTTATTTTTGTAATAACAAGTCACCTATGTAGATTTCGCTTTTTGGAAGTCATACTGGACATCTGCCAGCACAGATATTTCCTTAAAAAGTATTTGAGGGGCTTTAAATAGTTTTCTGAAGTACCTTAAAAATGGGAAGAACAGGAATCGGCCTATTATTGTTTAACATACATTTATCCCCTTCTTTCTAAATGACTGACACTAAAGCCAGCTTAAAATTTTGAGGAAACTTACCAGAAGCTCAAGACAAATTATATACATGTACTAAGCATGATGCAATAATATCTAGGACTAATTTGATAGGTTTAATTTGAAATTCGTCAATTGTCACAACTCTTACCATTCTTTAGGCGAATGGAAATATTAAATATTTCTTTCTCGTTTGTAGAATAAAAAAAAAAAAGAAAGAAGCTGTCGTTCACCTCGTGAACAAACAGCACCGCACTGTCACTTTACGGTTTAGGTATTAAATTTATAAAAATTCATTAAAGAGTTTCGGGAGAGGGGCTTCAGATCCAGTTTGATCATTTACAACTAGGTCGCCTGTTTGTTTCGAAATTGTTCCGCGGTTCAGAGCTTCGCTAACTTTTTTCCTATAATATCGGTTCGTTGTTTATCGCCGTCTTTAAATATTTCTTTGTAGTACAAAGACTGCTTTTTTTTAAATCGGAGGTTAACTCGATTGGAAAATTCTTAAATGAAACCAGTTTGCTGAGATCCCGTTACCTTAGAAACGCCTTGTATAAACGGTCTTTTTCTAACAATTTAGTATGTATTGGAGTGACCTTTCTCATTTTTTTTTATGAAGTAACTTATTTTGGAAAATGCAGATTGTAAATAGTCTTAAATGTTATAATAGATGCATTATATGCATAATAAATATTAGATGCGATTAAAGAAAGTTCTAATTTTAGATGATAACAGCATTTCTAATTACGAAAATATTATAATTTGAAATGTCCTGACATTCCTTTGTAACAGCGGGGTGAAGGCGGCGAGCGGTACAGTTGCGCTCTTTGGCCACAGCAAGCAGGACCGGAGGCACGGCGTTGCGTTTTGATAGAGAGCAGACATTTTAAAATTGACATGAGCCTTTACCTTTGAAGTCTTAGAATGCATGAAATGCATTACAGGGAATTGGTGTGTCACGTGACGTAAATTTTTCCACTAAAATTAGCAGGGAAATTGAGTGGTTGATAGGTCACGTGACGTCAAGTCGCGTGACGTCGATTCCCTCCCCTGAATTTAGCGGTGAACTGAATTGATGTTTTGCAAACAAGACGTCAATTTCTCCGCTATACTTAGCGGGAAAACTGAGTTGACGTAAAGGTTATGTGTCGTCAATTTCCATAAGGTGTATAGGTTACGCGAAGTCACATGACGCCAGTTTAGCGGAAAATGCATGGATGGAGAGACCAAAATTTTGGGATTGGGGGTAGTGTTAACAATGATTTTATGCTTTCAAACGCGACCAAATTGAGTGCGATTTTTAACGTTGTAATGTCTACCTGCGAATAGCTATTTATCATTATTGCTGTTGACGCAGACTGTCGAAGGCTGTTTCATTCTTAGAGTTATGAAAACCAGCCCGTGATCCGAGATTTGCATCTCCGATTTTGCCACTCAATTCGGCTTAATTACGCATTCAAAACATAAGCGGTGCGGCGCAAGGGGGGGGGGGGGAGCTCATGAATGTTATTCGCAAGCAACCTGAGATCGAGGTATGAAGTCTCATTAGTCCCCACCCAAATGTAGTGCCAGAGGTCCAGACCAGATTTCAAAGTTCCAGAGCGAACAGTTATCTCATTCAAACGTTATAAACGATTTTCGGAAATTTTCAAGGAGAAAATAATGGCCAAAGAAACCCCCAGGGCTGAATGGCGCAAACTACCGAAAGCGAGCCCCATTTTCTATTGAACGTTTCAGAAAATCATTTATAATTCTTGAATAAGATAAGCTCTAAAATTGACATCTGGTCACTGTCGCTAGCCTCACACCTGGGGGGAGATCGAGCGTACGGAAATGCGCAGAATATTTTTATAAAAAAAAAGACTCTGGATTTTTTTTAGGACACCTTGTATTTTTCCACACATGATATGCTTTTAAGAGAAACTGCAGCAATCGTAAATTCTTAATGACCTGCCAAGGTGTTGTGTGTTATTCAAAATGTCGTACCATACACACTAGAAAAACGGGAATTATAGACAATCTTTGGTTCTGTGTCATGCTGTGCGGAAACATTAAACCAAGTTTAATTGTTCCTGGTTTGTCACAGCCATTGATGACCTGCTGCAGCGAAAGTGATTTAAGAAATAGTAGTAATTATAACGGTTTCTTATATTTCTATCGCTATTTTACTCTTTCAGGGACCTCGAGTACAGGCGGGAGATACCCTATACAAAGCAGGTATGCTCCTTTTATACTTTGAGAAACATCGTATGTGTGTTTGAAAAAAAAATAAAGGAATCGCATTTAAGAAGCAACGAGGAATTTCGAAATCCACAAATAAAACTGCGACGAACACTTCGTATTCTCACATCAGTGTTGTGCCCGCTACTGAAATTAAGTAAGAAAATATCTTTCGTTTGCATAAATGAACGGTTTACTGAGATTCGTTGCAGTCATCAAAATGTAACGAAATACCGTTAGCGTTACTTCTAAAAACTAAGGAACGTTGCTTTTGCTTTACTTTTTAGTTTAGTACTGGGCAGCCATATGCTGCGGTTAAAAACTTTGAGGACAATTAAGCGTTTTAAAGAGCTTTTTTATATTCTTATTTTAGTTTATTAAATGTGTAGAATAGAGCAAGGCCCTGATGATGCGTTGGATCTTCAAAGGCACGAAACACGTGACTAATCTTAATAAAAAGTAATGCAGTAACGAGTGATGTAATTTAATAGACAAATGCCATAAAATAGTAAGGGACTTTATGCTTTACACATTAAGAAGAATAACGGGTACGTTAGAACATAGCTGGAATTTTAATATGTTATTAGTATCATGAGTACGTGTAACGCGTTAATTTCAGCACTGCGTCTCATTTACTTGGCATATCGATGTATATTTCAACATTACTCGACACTAAAGTCCCCTAGAAACAAACGACAAATTTATAGCGTTTAAAAAACATAATTTTACATTTTAACGCTCTTAACATTAGATCCAATTCACTTATTATCAGCATGCGTATAATTGTTTTACACTTTCATTCTACCACAGTCTATAGAATGCAGTCGCTAGAAATGCGTGATGTCTATCGCAAAGTCACAATGAACTTTCAGTCAGCATATTTGTTTGATAAAATAAAACAAATAATAAAGAAACAGCTAAGAGATACTGACAAACTGCATTAATAGCAGTTCTAAGCAGGTTACGCGTGGATAGAGAAATGCGCGGCTCATTGCTTGTTGTGAACTATCTACGCACGGAACTTTGTTCGCAGAACGTCTAGCTTTTAACTATGAAACTATAAACGTTTAAAAATCACGAAAGAAAGTAAGTGCGGTATGGACCAATCTAGAGATATCCTAGAAGGTAAACATCTTCTACAGAGGTCTGTCTGGTTGTGTGAAATGACTAAAGTGAAAGAAAATTCTCCAACCACAAAGCCTAATTTACAAATACGAAGAGGTTGAAGCTGTGGCTGCCCAATACGACCTATAGTAACTCCTGAAGAAGGAGGCTTTGAAACGTCGGGACATCTTTTTACGGTTTTGTGGTTGGAGACATTTCTATTAATTTAAATGCATCCTCGCACCCCACTATATTTCTCGCCGAGTAAATAATAATCAAACGTTTCGAGAATTTTCCGCACGGACTGATCTGTTGAAGTACTTTTTCCCCCCATAACTGTTAATGACTGGAACATGCTGTCCGATTAATCCGTAAAGATGCCATATGCCCCCTCACTTTTAAATTATATCATTGTTCACTTTTAAATTATATCATTGTGACGTTGCCGTTCATTTTTTGTAGTCTTCTATTCCTGTTTTTTATACTTTCTGTGATGTTGCTGTATTGTCAATTCGTTTATGCCTCCCTACTGTAATGCTCACTTGGTAATGTAGGCATGACATATATAAATAAATAACAATGACACGAGTTTTGGAAGACTCAAACAGTGCCAACTTTACAGCCCAGTAAGTCAAGCAGGTGTGCGGGAGGGAGACACGTGCCCAGGTACCACGTCAGGAAAAAGCGCAACTTGACACTAGCACGGCAATCCTAGGGCCCAACTTGGACCTAATACGGCTTTCCTCCAAGGAGTTAGTTAGTGCATAAGTACTTTTCTTTGATAATGCAATTAATGCAACGGTGCAAGCCAGCTGGGCAAGAATGATGACAATAAATCCTTGAGAAGAAAAACCATAAGGACAGAGGACAAACTCAAAACTCCAAACACAACTAGGTGACTGGTGCGCGAACGAAAACATTTGCCTGTTCCTGGTATTGAGTCAGGGACCTCAACATTTAGAGTAGAGCGTTCCACCAACTGAGCTAACCAGGGGTTAGACGTCAGTAGAGCAAACAAATTTCATCAGCTGCCACCGCTCTAATACCAGCAAGGGTTAGCGGCATGCATTTTGAGGTTATGATGATAATGCAATCAATGCAAAGGTTCAAGCGAGTTTGACAAGAGTGAAGATAATAAACCCTGAAGAAGGGGAACAAGGGATACAAAGGATGAACACGAAACTCCAAACACAACTAGGTGACTTGTGCGCGACCGGAAAAATCCACCTGGTTCTGGTATCGATACGAAGACCTCTCCGTCTTCAATGGAGCGCTCTACCAACTGACCTAACCAGGAGTTAGATGTTAGTAGACCAAATAGATTTTATCAGCTGCCACCAGTATAACACCGACATGGGTGAACGGCCTGCCTTTTAAAATTTCAATGATTATTCAATTAATGCAAAGTTGCAAGCGAGCTGGACAAGAATTATCATAATAAACCATGGAAAAGGGGACCAAGGGGGACAAAAGACAAACACAAACCTCCAAACACAGATATGTGTTAAGTGCGCGACTGAAAAACTCCGCCTGGTCCTGGTATCGAACGAGTGACCTCCCTTTTGTTCTCTTGTTCTCCTTATCCAGGATTTAGTATTGTCATTCTTGTACAACTCGGTTTCAGCTTTACATTAACTGCATTATCAGCATAACCTTAAAATGCAGGCCATTCTCCCTTCTTGGTGTTAGACTGGTGGCACCTAATAAAACCAGTTTGCTCTAGTGACATCTAACTAGAGGTTAGCTTAGTTGGTAGAGCCTTCCAATGGAAATAGTGAAGTCTTTGGTTTGATATTAGAACCAGGCGGATTTTTTTGGTCGCGCACCAGTCACCCAGCTGCATTTGGTGATTTTTGTTTGTCCTTTGTCCCCCTTGCCACCCTTCTCCAAAGTTTATTATCGTCATTCTTGTCCAGCTCGCTGGCACCTTTGCATTATTTGCATTATCATCAAGACCTTAAAATGCAGGGCGTTTGCCCTTGTTGATGTTAGACTGTTAGCAGCTGATGAAACCCATTTGCTCTATTGACGACTAGCTCCTGGTTAGCTCAGTTGGTAGAGCGCTCCACTGTAAATGGAGAGGTCACTGGTTAGGTACCAGGACCACACGGATTTTTTCGGTCGCGCACCAGTCACTAGCTATGTTTGGAGTTTTGTGTTTGTCCTTTTTCCCCCTTGTTCCCCTTCTCCAGAGTTTATTACTGTCATACCTTTCTTTGTCGTTTCTATGGCTGTTCCCAGGCTCGCACATAATAGCCAAAGGGCCCGACTTGAGTAAAAAAAAAACAATTCCATGTATGGATCAAAGAACCGGCACCTAGGCCTATTTCTACTATTTGTATGGTGATTTAGGCTCAAAGCGTCCGCATGAAATCCGAAAAACCAGAAGTGAAGCTTGGGCACTTTTTTGGCAATTTAAGCCCTAAGATACCAAGTGACAGCCGAACGACCTGCAGAGAAGACTATGGCGCTTATTGGGCGACTCATCAATCAATCAATCAAACAATCAATCAATCAATCAACCAATCAATCTTTATTCACTTTTTAAAATACAGTTCAAATGTAAATCCCACAATAGACAATACTTGCTTGTGCGTGGGACGCGACAGATGCCTTTGCATTTTTATTAGAGAATTATGAAACTTGCACTAGAGCGCGCCATGGTAAAATAAGCGGAGTTTCTATTTCCTGAAAAAACTATAGTTACCATATATTACACTAAATCATTAAACAGCAGTAATATATAAGATATGTTGGATTTTGGAATTACTTAACGTCGTTAACCACAACAACTATAAAAAAAGTAAAACTATATTTTATTTTTTTTGGGGGGGATTTTATATTGTGTAACTCTTCAAGCAATTATCCAAAAAAAATTTGGGTAGACAGTAATTTCTTGTGGCCTCTCTATATTTTGTATATATTAGTGGTTAGGTAAATTTTTCATTTGGTCTTAAGTTCTGTCTTTGGCATTTTCCACTTCACGTTAGTTGATGAATAAATGCCTTATGATAATGACAGGCTTCATCTTGTCTTTAAAGCGCAACATTGCTAGGTCTTTATGGTACCCGGGCTTTGGTACCCGGACTCTAGCCAAAAAAGGTAAAGTTTGGCTCTGCCTTGACTTGTTTGGGCTTTGTAAAGCCTTAAATTTTCAAACCAAATCCAAATATTGCCTCAAAACCTGTGCTACCTGGGGGTGACTATACTTTATCTCACGCACTGCTGTCAAATTCAGGTTAGTTACAAAGAGGAAAGCCACTTTTGTGCGAATTTTGAGTGATGAGTTAATCTCTTAATTGGAAAAAAAGCTGCGTCGGGGCACAAAAAAGAAACACCTCTCCGTGGTTTGCAAGTACATTCGCCATGTGATACGCGTGACGCGTTGTAAGGGTGTATACAAATTGTGAAAGAATTTGAATTCTTTATTTTTTATTACTCTTTTACGTGATAATGACCGTTTTCACGTTCGTACCAAATAAGTGTTTAAAATTCACCATTTTTTAAGAATAAATATGAACCAAAAAAACACGCCGATTGGCCCGATGAACAGGGGTCCGTGTTTTCGGGAGTTTATTTATTTTTTTTTTTTTTGAATTCGGGTTTTTTTTTTATGGTATATCTTTCTCCAGAGACTTGGAGTTTAGCATTAAAAAAAAAAACCGAGACTGGGACAATAAGGGACGGACAAATACAAAGTCTCAAACACAGCTGTGTTTGAGCAGCTGTGTTTGAGACTTTGTGTTTGTCCGTCCCTTATTGTCCCAGTCTCGGGTTTTTTTTTCGAAATGTTTAACCACCACCAGCTCGTTTGTGCCCTTAACTTTTGTTCACTTGGAGCTTTTTTGGTATCACTCGTCAGTGTCGAACCGAAAATCGGGGTTTATCGGGGC